CGGACTTGCTAGCTGGCGCCGATCTGTGATTGCCTCTAACCAATTTGAACGCCATCGAACTTCGTCCTGCAGCGAACGCGTCTCGAGCACGTTCTCAGCTGCATTTCGCACAGCTAACGCGTAGATGGGGTGGGTACACGTCCGTCCGTCGCGATCACGTCGATCACGTTTGGCTAGGCGACGGCCTCTCTCGAATCACCGATGCTGTCTCACCCTGCTCGACGCATTCACGATACAACGAGATGCTGGAGATACTCCCCCTTCCCGCGTTCACGATGGACCTGCTTGACCTTGCCGCTTCGAACTGCGCTGCCCTACTGAGGGAGCAACGAAAGGATGTCACGCTATCCAGCCGCGATCGCGAGCAAGCATACTACTATCTCATCAGTGTGTGTGGGGACACCTCAGTGTGACTATTGAGCGTGTCCCCACTCAGGTCTTGCTGGGCGTCATAAGCTCCACGCTAAAGAGAAACAAACCCCTGACATTCGAACGCGCGTGGTTTACAAGTGTCTAAGACGGCCAGCGACAAGCCTAGCAGCCGCATCCTTCGGGGTCGTGGCAGATCAATTACTACAGTATAGAGGTGTAAATGGCGTGAGAAGGCGCGCGGCATCAGCAGCCGTCGCCACGTACGTAGTAGTCAATTCGCAATTAAGTCCAAGGTTGACTTTCCCTAATTCGGGGGCTCGGCGAATCATCTTCACGCTAGAGTAGTGACACGGACGTCTGGAAGAAAGTCCGCGGCAAGGCGGCACGGCACCCCCTCTGCTGGACTGCTTTGGCGTCCCGCCTCGACGTCGAGGGCATGCGACTTCGGATCTACACGCAGGCTCCGCTCCTCGTTTAGGCCCTTTGGGCAAGCGACCAGGCCATTCTGAATGGCGCTATACAGCGTTTGGACGAGATGTAGCAAGGCGGTGGTGGTGCTCAGTCATCGAGCTTCTTCTATCTTCAACTCCTCACGCTTATCGCACATCATGTATGACCTTATTTGCCGGGCACCCGCACCCAGCACTCAAGCGCCGGTCTGGTCCACCATGCAGACACAACGCGCATTCTCGAATTTGCTGGGAAGGCGCTTGATGCAATGCTGGATCTTTTGCGTTCTGAATTCGTGTCAAGAGGTGCACTTGCGAGTCCAGCAGCCACGGACATCGAACCGTGTGCGGCCTAGCT